TCAGCACTGCCGCTCCGGGGCCGGCTGCCCTCCTGCCGCGACGCGCCTGCCTCCGGGCAAAGGCAAAGCTGCCAGAGGAGCGGAGAGACGCGGGCAGAGCCAGAGTGAGCGCGTAAGCACCGGGGCCAGCAAGGGGCAGGAGGACAGCAGGTACTCAGTGCTCGAACTAGTGCTCAGCCTCTCTGCAACTCGCCCAGTGCACAGCGCGAACCACTCCAGAAACACCATGATCCCACCTCTAGAGCCTAAAAATGTAGGCATCAAAATAATAATAAAAAAAAAAACATACCAGGCCTTTAAGAGGTCTGTACCTTGTAAGGGAGAAACTCCACTAGAGAGAGCAAGGCATGCGCTTTTCTGCGGCAAGGAAATCTAACAGTTTACAGAGCTTGTATCACACAGCCCATGAAGAACTTGGGTGAAGAGTGTCCCCTCAAAGTTTGATTATTTTTCCAAGCACAAGTCTTCATGTTTACATGGAAAGTAACTGTTCCTGCATCCTCTACCGCATCCTTCAGGAGCGGTCATGCTTAGCTTCCCTGCCAAGGAGATCAGATACAGGGGAGTTGCTATCACAGCTTTAGGAAGACACTGGAAAACAAGGAGTTTTTAATGGATACTGGTACGTGGTAGGCAGGCCAGGAGTTTTTGAACAGACTATTTATGCAGCAACTGCAAAATTACTAATAACTGAAGAACCTCCTGGGTGGCGGTGGCTCTAATGACAGCCCCCATAGCCACTGCTCCTAGGTGCCCTCTGGAGGTCCCAGCACTTCGCTCCATCACAGCACCCACGTGCTTTCTGCTAGACTTTAGGTACCTCAGGCACATGGAAGGACATCCTCTGACCACCCCTTGCTTTGGAACTACGTGGTGAGAATTAGGAACAAGCATATAAGCCTCTGAAATCAGGAGGAAGGGGAAAGGCTGATCAGTAACTTTACGCGTTGACTCAAAATTATCTAAAAAGTGTTATTTTGCACTAGGCTCAGGGCAAACAAACCCAAACAGTTCAGGAGAGCAAGCACAGGGAAAGACACAAAGTCAGACACATCCAAACCTGGGACTCTGAGTTGGTGGGTGACTTCATTTGAAAAAAAAAAAAAAGAAAGGAGTGATTTATAGTTACAAATAGGCATCATGAAGACATTTAACCAGTGTTTGGGTCTATTAATAACAAGTTAACAGAGAAGACAAAGTTGCTGTGAACCAAGCTACCAATTTGTTGTTAGGCATTTAGTGCTCAAACTAGATTAGTTTTGTAATGTTTTACTGAGTTTCTGTTTTACTTTTTTGTGTTTAAGTGTCCCCAACTTTCTTCCCTCATCTTTCAAACAAAAGTTCTGGCAAAACTCTTGTAAGGTAATTTTTCCCTTAGCATTTTTTAATTTTGTAGTTGGTTCCTCCTCTGAGGGAAAGGAGGAAATTGCTTGGCTATCTGGGCAATGAAGCCATTTCACCAACTTTGAAAATAACTGGTGTAGGAGGAACACAGTATTACCAGGACATACATACTCTGACCTGGGAAGTCATGGGCAACAAGCTATCAATTTCCTGGGAGGAATCGTTTCCTTCTCCACTTGGCCAGGTGTACAAATTTAGGTCAATTATAAATTAATCACCAGCAACAAGATTCCTCGCAGGGAGTTATCAGTGGCAATATCTTTTTCTGGATGGAACTGAGAGGTGCTCAGCAGAGACAACACAACTCAGGCACGAACATGGTGGTGCCAACAGCGCGAGGGAAGGAACCGACAGACCCAGCCTGACACTTCCCTCTGGAAGCTCTACAGCCTGTGCTCACCAGGGCTGCAAACACAGTGGCAGCACCAGGTTTTCATGCTGACATGACAGTGCATGCCCCTTGGGTGGACTGACAGCCTGAGTGTTCACTATCTTTTCATAACTACCTACACCTACAGGCAGACACACTAACCTTGTCTTCCAGTCTTCTTCCGACTTGGAACGATTTTTGCGAGCAGTCCTCTGTTTTTCTTCTAGCCTCTTCTTTTCTTCGCTAGCTAGATCTTAAAGGGATTAAAAAAAAAAAAAAAGGCCTTAAGTGTCATATAGAACAGCGACATCTGCTTCATCTGACCCATCAAATAGACAAGGGAAGCAGTAAAAGTTGCTCATGTAAAGTGCTTCCTACGTAAACCCAAAGCACTTCTATTTTAGTCTAAAAGCCAGGCCAGCTGCAGCATGACGAGAGTCAAGGAAATATTGCTCTACCTCCTCAATGTGTTTAGCTGTGGCCTCAGGATACTGAAAATTTCTTGAAAGCACCTGTGAGCTGGGGGATATGGCACATCTAGGATTTATTTCAACACGGAAACTGGTTAAGACATGATGCTGGATTCAATTCAGGAGTCAGGCCACTAACTTCTTTTTATGTCTTCGGCTAAGATCTCACTAGCGACTAGTCAAGACTAGATCAACAGAGATTTGGAATATTCTTTTCCAAATGATAAAGAGTTGCTCTCTTTTCCAAATGATAAAGACTTGTCTCTGATAAAGACATCTCTGCATTTTTCGTTTGCTTGTTAAGTCACTAAGAGATAATGGGTCATTGTAACATGTGGAATAGCCACTTCTATCTGTAGCAGAAAGGACAGTCATTCTTCAGATATTCTGGAGGAAAATAAAATCAGACCATGAAGCAAGTTAGATTAAGACGATAATCTTATGAAAGATGATAATCTTTCATACTTGAATCCTGAATCATGAACAGCTTGGAAAAAAGCAGTTGGGAGAATCATTTTTGGCAGCTTCTCAGCTGTTCCCAATTATCCTACCAGCTGCTGACACACCACATATGCACCAGCGTATCTGCTAAACAGTCTTTATGCTGCTGCTACAGTTAAGGAATATAGTCTGTTGCTAAAGGCATAGTTAATTCACTCTTCACTTCAAGCAATCACTGAGAATGCTATGAACCAAGTATGTCCACCCCATTTGCCACAAAACAGTCCTACCTACAGATACACTGGTTGGGGGAATTACTAATCTGCTTTATTTTATTTTGCCAAAAATAAGTCGATATCAGCTTCTGGAAAAAAATTTTAAAAAGTCTCACAATGCTTTTTTAATTCACTTATTCTAGGACCAGCTTCTATTCAGCTTCCAGTGAAGAATAATTTTGCATCAAGCATCTTTTGTCACTGCAGTTCCACTTAGTTTTCACTGTAATACTCAGAACTAGAATATCAAAATACTTCTGCTTTGGCTGGTGGAAAGAGAAAAAAGCAGCAGCTCACAAATACGTGCAGTGGTCAGAGCCTGTCTCCTTAGACAAGCTTCCAATTACAGGGCTTGATTATGGAGCATAACAAAGGGCCTAAAAGCAAGTTAAAAAGCACATCACTGAGATGTTTTTAAGATTCCTGCGTATATGGAGAACATAAGCAGGCAGGTACCAGAACTTTCACTCTAAGCAAACCATAACCTATGAAGGTTGAGTTTAGGTTATTAATATGCATAAAAACACATTTTTATGGTTGCTACTTACTCTAACATTCAACCAGCAATTTGAGAGTGGATTTTTTTTCCATTTTTCCAATCCCTCAACTTAGAAAGACCTTTGCAATAACTACCTATTTCGCCATTCTCCATGGCTCTGATATCTGGTCGTAGCCGACAGTCAGTTTTGGGAATGACACTCTCCATTTCTTTGTCCAACTCATTCAAAGCCATAGCAAAGCTAGTAAAGTTGTACATCTGCAAGAGACCAAGATAAAGGGTGACTTTATAACAAAGTCTTTAGCTGCTAGTTTTAATACACAACAAAGCAAATTCTAAAAATAAACACCCAGGTGCTTTTATGGTTATTATTTTTCATCATTTAAGATGGGAATACTAAAGTTGCAGGCAAAACTGCAGTGTTGGGCACAGTGTTGGTGCTCCTTGGTGCTTCTGTTTAATCAGGAGAGCATCCAGTACCCACTGCACTATTTCTATCTTCTTTTTTCCAGCCCTTTTTTCCCCCATAATCTCTACTGAGGCATTTCTCCCTTGAAGAACCTGCTGAAGGACCTTTTCTTGTTCCAGCTCCAGGTCTTTCTGGCTCCAAATGCCCTCTTGCCCTCTGGCTCTCCAGCTCCAGGGCCCCTCAGAGACCAGCTCATGCTATGCATATTTTGTAGGTTCTGCAAGGGCACACATCTCCCAGGAAGTGTCTGCCTTCTAATAAAGCCTTTCAGAAGAAGTTTGTCACACACAGTAAGTGCTTCAGCTGGGGGAAGAGGGAGAGGAGAAGAGGCAGGGAAATCCCCTGTGCCACTAGCTATGTGAAACATTCAATTTTGCAGAGAAATTCAGTTAATTAGAAAGAGTCAATCCTTTCCTCCTAGTCCACCTCACCTAGTTACAACAGTAGTGGGAAAGTTTGTTACAGTAAACAGGTAAATCCAGACTTGCCAGTGAAAAGGAAGACAAATGGATTTAGTTTGAGTTGAACAGGCAAACTGACAGAATAAGCAGAAATAATAGCTGACCTGGGTGGAATTTGGAGGTCTTGGATTTATCCTCCATAGCAAAATACTTCCAGGAATAACATACACACTCTCAGAATCTGGCAATGGCATCTCGTCTGGCTCCTCCGTATTGCCCACCTAAAAGCAGCACACAGAAAATGGAAGGAGTTATCTGGAGTCATAAGTCATTTGAATCTATCTACTGCAGTGCTGAGACTTCGGTAAAACTATTTCTATGACCAAAGTAAATTATTTCAGTAACACAGGAACTTTTCTAGGTGCTCATCAAGGAACATTAGAATAGAATACATAGGCCCCAACTCCCTACCAAGGGAAGTCCACCAGTTTCTTGTATTAGTGTCTTTGTAGATAAAGCCTGGACATTCAAGATGGACACAGTGTAGATGTGGCTGAAACTAGTTCTAAACCATTATGCATTTAACAAACTCCTTTGTTTGGAGCAGCTGAGGCCCAGCTGATGTTCATTCAGCCACAACGGAGAATGTCACAGCACTGACCTAAGGCCAGCCAGGCAATGAGAGACCCATCTCCCAAGAAAATCCGGCATCACCATCACTGCTAAAAAGGCTGCACATTTCAGAGACTGTAGGAGAGCAGAGCTGAATTAAAGACAACTAATGAACCCAACTGCTTTAAATACTCTTACTACGTGCCAAGAACTTTAATCCTGCTGCTAATAAGCTCTGCTCTCTGATGGCTGTGTCATATAATACAGACTGATGTCTCTGTGCAAGCAGTCCAGTCCCCAGAACCGAACTCGGCTGTTTTCTGAGATGATTCATGTGTTTTTGGCTCCTAGAAAATTAGGAAGAATTAAAGAGTTCTGCCTCACTGTGGAGCTCTTGGGTATGGTTGTTTTAACAGCAAACCAGCTGCAAAGGAACCAGAACAACATACTGAGCAGGTTCAGTCCCTCAGCTGTTAAGAAGCTAAACAAGGTTTTTAGGTAACTAACAGCTGAGCTGTCTTGCTAACCTGGCTCTCTAACCTTCAAAGGATACTGATCCCTAACCTTCACTGGACTCTTTTAAGAAACCAGGATCTGAGGCAAAGCACAGATCAGAAAGATATCTTTATATGAAAACAAAGACTCTTCAATACCAGTGTGACAAACTCAAGACAAAGTTTTACAAAAGACTGCACTACAAACTGTAGTTTTTTGCCTTGTCTGATACAAGATGTCACAAGAATGACAAAGAGCCCAGAACAGGACTTTAATGTGCACTTGCCTCATGCTGCATAACTTATGCTCACCAAGTCCCTCCAATTCTAAGGAGAGGTTTTGCAACTGCTCACAGCTGTCTTGCATTATGCTCCTCTCTATATTTGCACTGCAAATTTGTCAGAAAATGCTTCATCTTCAGACAAAAAATGTCTCTAGTTCCATCAGAAATGAATCATCCTGGAATAGCCCTAAGCCTAGTGTAACTCTGTCATCATGTTGGTAAAGTATCTACCTTTGATTATATGAAGGTTTGTTTAGCATCTTGCAAGACTCTGTATTCAAAATTTAATTCCTAGGAAAGGTAACGTGATTTTGGAGAAGAGACAAAAGGAGTCACATCCAAGAAGGTCCCCTACAAGGAGACAGAAGGGAGCCCACATTAGCAGCAACAAAGCAAGAAGGAAGAGTGGAAAACAAGTAAAGAATAATCTGAAAATTCTAATTAGGAGCAACTTGAAAGGCCACATACTTTCACGCCTGCAGGACTGCTTCATTACCACGAAGGGAGAAAGCATGTCCAGACTTCACACTGAAGACTTGGTCACTTCGTTCAACATCATAAGCAGTAACATAGAAGTGCAGAAACCATAAGCAATACCAGCTCCTCAAACACAAGGGGGCAGCAGGGATATACGTTCAACAGAGAAAGACTGGCTGACCTACAGTGCACATGACAAAGCTTTGAGCCTTCTACACAGAAATGCCTCTGTTAAATGAGTAGAAAAAGTGTGCTTTTCCACATTCAGGGCAACGTGCAACTTGAGCTTTATGAAATAGGGTGCTTTATTCTGCACTGAAAAGCAAGGGTGGATGTGAGCTTTGTCAGAGAAAGTCAAGCAATAGCTCAAGCATAACAAAGCCACAGCCTGTTTTTTCTTTGCTCCTTTTCCCTGGAGCTCACAGGGCAGACCTCAAAGAGAAGCAAAACTCTCTAGTGCTTTAGCACTCTAATGATGGAAAGCACTAGAGCAATCTCAGGTACAGCAAGAATCTGGATCTGCACTGGAACAACTGCTTTCAGAGTTTCTTTCTTTCTTTTCTTTTTAATGTTAAAAGCTATCAATACTTAAACAAAAGAAAATCTGGTGGTGGTGACCAAAGGAGGACAATAACTCTTTTAAGCTACACCAGGAGTGGTTGTTCTTCAACACTAGGCTGTTATGTTGTTACCACCACTATTGATCTTAGACAGCAGAAACCTGGAATGATCAATAATTTTTTCATCAGGAAAAAATACGAAAAGGCAGCATTTTGACAGCTATACCAATGTAATAGAGAAATACAAAATTTCTTGTAAAACCTGGAGAATAGGATCTTTCATCAAGATATGAAATGATGTAGGAGTCCAAATCCTTCTACTGGAATATAAATATTATCAAACATAATCAGGACGATGGTCTAATTAATACATGTGTTATTTCCTCCACGTGAGGAACGAAGAGGCAACAATTCTGCAGGAGACAGGTGAGTAAATGCCAGCCAGTGGTTAGACGGGGCCAAGTCTTGGAAGTTCGAATACAAATCCTTGAAAGAGCCAGCATTTTACCCCTTACTACTAGTACTCACACAATCCATTTTTGATTTCTACTAGGCAAGAGAGAATAAGCGAAGAGGTAAGCTCTAATACACTTAAGTGCTGTTAAAATATTTAGTTGTCCTATTATGCTTTTGAGACACCATCTCTTTACATGATTAATACCTGCTTACTGCTTCTCTTCTCTTCTGCATTTTTCTTGTCATTTTTTTTGTAAGCCTCAAAAGTAGCTGGGTCAACACTGTATAAGCACTCAGTCCACTTCCCATACAGCGCACAGAGTTTCTTTTTGCTGTCAAAAAAGAGAAAGAGCTTAAGCAGATTTATTTCAGCATTTCAAACACATTATTTGAGAATAACTCGCCAGCTACATTATTGGTGTTATGCAAGTTACAATCTTCCAGTTTTAGGTTCATGTTTTTGATGCACTGTTAACAGCATTCAGTTCTCCAGTTCCCATTAGAAATTGAGCACAGTAACTTGTTTCTTTTAGGAATGGATCTTACCTTTTGTCCTGAATGTAGCCTTCAACTTTGTGCAACTCCTTCCCAAACAGGCCACAGGGCTTGAAGCTTAAAACACATTTCTCACCAGTTCTAAAGGCAGTAAAAGAAGGCACTAATTATTTCCAAATGCTTTTTGTTTTTAAATTCCCAGAAAGTGAATGCACTCACATTCTTAACTTACTTGTGGTTAGTTATTTCCACATTTCCATACTGCTCAATCCAAAGTTTGCCCACAATAATGTTATGCACACAGCACGTAGGATTTGTCCATGTGTAGGCTTCATTGTGTCTGGAAGGAGAGAGAAAGCACAAAATACTCCATCTTTGTACTGAATGGCACTGCTGCAACAAGCTGTCTTCTATAAAGGGCACCAAGCCTTGAAAGGGACATGGCAATAAGCCAGGAAAACTCAAGGAGTTTTATTAACCATGCCTGGTGAGCAAAGGATACTGCTACTGATTTTATCAATTCCTTAAAACAGCAGCCTCAGTGCTGCCAGTCCTGCTGGCACTGAATCACACAAGGAAAGTCAGCACCCAAGTGTGCTGGTCATGGTAAGACTGGATGTCCAGGCAACTGCAGAACAGAGAGTCACATGCACCAAATACTGCTATGATGCCAGTTTGTACAGCTTAGTAAACAGAAAATTTACTAGAACGAAGTTTATTAGGCTAAATGATGGCACTTCCCATCTTCTCATCTCCTCCCTGCAAAGTGATCTCCCATCAAGCACCAGGATGTGGCTGTTAGATACCTCCCTTCTTAAGCCATGCAACGTGCATGAATCATTGCAGATGTGGCCACTGTGCTTATACAAGTATCACTTATCAACTTACTCAAGAAGCTCCAAAGTCATTGTGCCTTTTGGTTCTGCTTCCACACTCTTGCCCCAGAATTTGAGTTTAGGATAAATTGATCCATGAAACACAAAATCGTTATTTAAACCTTCAGCATAGAAAGCACTGATTGGAGGATGATGGCTAACTTGTTCTGAGAGAAGTCTAAACCCCAGATCATCTCTGTGAAATAAAATTAAAAAGTGTTATGAGGATGCAAAGAAAAAGCCTGGAAGAGTATATTCAATTAACAAGTGAAGCTGAAGTTGTGGTTCTTTTCCCCTAGTGTGAAACACACAATTGATTCATGCATAGCCACTGTGCTCAGTGCAAGAGTTAGTTAAAATGCTGTGGGAGCGCAAATGAGACAGATCAACTAACAGATATAAACAGCCTCATTCCAAGAAACTGGGGACATGTGAAAAGGTAAAAAGAGCAACTAAAGCTTCTTAGCCAATATGTTTACCTTTGATAGTGAGCTCAAACTTTTGCATAATCATAGGCCAAAACCTCACTTGTTTGAGAGAAGAACTTCCTCTAAAAGCAGTAGCAGACTAATAAGCTAAAACCAACTATTCATACTCCGGACACTCACATAGTGAGTATTACCACTCCGCCACCTCCTTTATATGCAACACACACTTTCATTCAGGTTTTTAGGAAAAAGAAAAAGTCATTTTTGTGAATAAAGTTTACTTTTAAATCCATTTTAAAGCCTGCTCTGGGTTGAGGGGCTAAGAAGCTCCCCTGCAGCGAGGGGTGCACAGCTGAAACCCCAGAACACATTTCCTAGGAGCCACAGGAGGTGCTTGCGAATGCAGGAATTTGTCAAGCCCAAGAGCAGTTTGCATGCCACGCAAGCAGCCTAACAAAACCCCAGTTTTGCAGAATACCCCCCTCTACTCCTCAGTACACCTTCTGCTCCTTACCTGATTAGTTCATAGGTCTCTCCAAGCAGCGGGTTGAATGGCTTCCCTGTGCGCTCCCACTGTGAGGCTACAGCAGACACAGCAAACGCAGCGACACACTGGTTAAATGACACGAGTGCACAGTTAACTCTGCTGGTTTTCAGGCTTTCTCAGGTATCAACAACAGCCATGGTACTACAGAATGTTTTTTCTTGAGCAGCTTAGCAAGTGTAGGTCTTTGTCTCTTTTTTGTTTATTTGTTTTAAGTCAAAGGAGGGGCAAAAACAGGTTTCATCAAAAGGCTAAAAAATTAGCACAACGCTTCCTAGACCGGCAAAACAGTTAAGAAATTCACAGCAGAACCTGACATGCAGTAAATTACAGGAGTTCCTTCTATAGCAGGAGTCTGCCTAGGAAGAAGAAAAGCTGAGCACATTGAGAGCGGGCTACTAGAACCTGCCACAGGCACAGTACCTGCATTCGCTCGGTGGTGCTGGGCAGGGCGCTGGCTTTGTGGATGAGGTACGTGTGCTCCATGTACTCCGTAAGGCGCTGCAGGAAGCTCAGGGGCTCATTGAATATAACTGGCATGGTGATCTTGGACAACTCCTGATGCACAAATGAAATTTGTGTTAAAAACCAAATGATTAGACACACTGACCTACAGTAACCCAAACTTAATTGGCTCATTACAAAAATAAATTATGTTCTTAGTGCTAATGCAATGGGCTTGACCTGGCCCTGCTAATGCGGCATAGAAAAAGCCCTCTACATCCCTTATGAGCTTGATAAGCCTATCTATACGGACATTAAGGACATTTGTTTTAGAACAAAATGAAAACCAAACAGCAAAAATATTTCCTACTGATAAATGCATTAAGAAGGTGAGATGAAACAATGGAATGGAGTACTAAGGGCCCTTTTAAAAATTATTTATTGCTCTTAAAATAGATATAGGCCACCTAGTTGTTTAAACATCTTCTTTGGAGTCAAGTAGGTAGAGGAAGGAGGAGGAGAAAGGATGGGGGAAGGTGGCAGCACAAGGAATAAAAAGCAATAAATCTATATTTACTAGACACACATTCACTGCTGCAGGCAACATGCTATGTATGTGGTATGAGACTGCAAGGTTTATGGGCAGTAAGTACTTTCAGCCTATTGCAGTAAATACTTTCAGCCTATCTAAGTGGAAAGAGGAATTCTTCTCAATTCACCCTTAGCTGGAAGCAGATTAAGTGCCAACCAACTGACCTCTCTGATCTGCCCACCATCTGGCCACTAACAATGTAATACAACAGGGAGGAGGGCAAAGAAAACTGAAAGTTTTTGCTACCACAGAGTGATTCAAGGGCTGAATTCAAGAGAAAATGCCTTTACTCAATCATTATTGCTCGAGGTAAGCCTTACCTTACTGGACTACATAAGCAAGCGAAAGCCTAAGAGAACATTAACACTCCTCCAAACGCATAAGCAAACACACAATTTTTCATTTTCACTCAAATGAAACTAAATATTTCAAGTCTGTTTGTTATTGCAACTGATTACTTACCATTCCAATACATTTTCTTAAGATACTCCAAATACTGAAGTCATTTCTGGAAAACATTGGAGAAGGCAAACTTGTTCTGTAGAAGGGAAGGCAGAATAGAGGAAGGAAAGAGAAAGAAGAGTTTTCCATTACTAACCATGGCTGAGAAAAAAACTCAAATACTCTTTTGTGAAAGCAACAGCTTCCTCGGTCATCTAGTAAACTGTAAAGCCCTTAGCAAGCAAAAGCAGCACTGGGAAGCTTTGGTTACAAATAACAAGCTCATTAAAACTATTTTACCTGCAGAGAGAGCTGAATTTCTGCAAGGACAGTACCAGAACTACCTGTTCATTTTGCTTAAGAGTAAAGAGAATTTCTACATTAGTTAGAAGAATAGTGTTTGCATGATGCCATCATTAAAACATTTTAAACATTTATTCAATTTTTTTTCCTAAGAGAAATTGAGTGCTTTTGAGTACTCTTCAGGAAAGATGCTTGTAGGCGGGTTCACTGTGTCTGAATAGACTGGAGGGTTAAAGAGTTCAGTGTTTTTGCTAATCACATTACACTGACTCAAAGGCACAACATTTATTGCCTATAATTAAAATCAAACCTTGGTAAAAACAGAAAAAGCAGCACTGCTAGAGAACAGGAAACACTGCAGCCTGGTCTACGAAGGGCTGACACACATTGAAGAAAGTTTTAATATAGTTTTATGACCAACATTTAGACTTTGTCTACCCTTCTCAGCATTACACGAAGTTGGGCACGTACTTTGTTTCCTTTTCTGACTACTACTGACCAGCAATATTATTAATCCAGTTTACCTATATAGAAAGGCATAAATGTAGCTTAAAGCTCTCTGTCTATAACAACATTGCTCTTCGTCCATAATAAGATTAAACCGCCATTTGTACCATAAGGCTAATACCAACGAGGAAAATTGAGATAAGAATTATCTACAGCTTGCTCAAACTGCACAAACTATTTATTGAAGTTCAAAATTGACTATTCCTGAACAACTAATGAAGGATGATGTTGTTTCCTCCATCTCCCTTTTATGATAAACAGACAGATGTTGAAAAGAAGAATCCATGCAGCTAAGTGGATGGTGTCAGTAACTTTATTTGCTGTCACCTCTCATGTTTTTTTGCTATAACTGTTCCCTATTCTAATTTTTAGTACTGGAAAAGTATGAAGTGAACCAGAGCTGCCTGAATAATACGAACACCACTTCTGTGGATGCTTTGATACTAGTGTCCAGGAGAGGACAGTGTCCACCAAGTATTCAGTCTCACCCTTTCCCTTGGTAGAGTTTGCTTATTTTTTTCTGTGTTTTCTCTGATGAAAGCAGTTTGCAGAGCAGGTATCTGTTTTCAAATAAGCCCTTTGAATGGAAAGGAGACTCCTTGGGTTTGCTGATGTGTACAGAGGGATTGCTTTTCTTAAATATGAAAATTAACACGTTCACCAAAGTTCATCTGTCTTTCCATTTAATTCTTTTAATTGCACAAAAGCTGGCATTCACTTTTAGTCATTCATCTATGTTGCTTGCACATGAATATATAAGCCAAACCTGAACTGCCAGTCAGTTCTTTCCTCCATATTACACACACATATTAGAGAACAAAAACAACTCAGAGTCAGCAAAAAGGATCCTGGGGGCAACTAAGGACAAACAGAAAATGACAGGCAGCCAGGACCTGGAGCCTACAAACCTTGACACAGTCCCTGGGATTAAGGGAAAAGTTTGTGAATGCAAAAATTTCCTTCCAGATGTCAATTTTAGAAGCAAGTCATGAAGTTAATTTTAGCTTTAAGTGACAAAAACATGTGCTGAAATCTCTTTGCATTAGAAGAGATAAGTATAAGCCTGTACACTTAAAAGCAAAAATACTTGTCTGAAATGCCTGCCTACAGCAGGCTCACCACTGCAGTGATCTTGTAGGGAAGATGCAGGGACCATGCACAGTGCAGAAGCAGCATATTTAGCTTGCTCTTCACAGGTACCTGACCAAATAACCTCCTGCTCCCCCAAATCCCAAACATAGTTCATTTTGAGAAGCCCCTGAGAAAGGGAAAGCTGACTACAAAAAAGCTCAGCAATAAAAGAGAAGCAGCAGTGACAAAACAGGCATTAAAACAAATGTTAGCAAGTATTACAGAACATTGTTGTGCATTTTTTGTAAGGTTTGGCTCAGATTCAAAGCTTACCTCTAAATTTATATGTTATAAAAGTAATAAAAGTATTCCTCTAGTTTATATGTTATATATATTAATATATGCATATATGAAATGTGTATATACAATGTTGAATATTTGAATGTTTCTAGAATAGATATTTTATGGAATATTGTGTCTTGAATTCCCTTATAAAGTCTGTGATATTATGAAGTCCACTCTGACATTGGCCTAAAACCACAGGAAAACAAGTCAACCAAACAGTCTTTCAAATGTCCCACAATCAATCAAGGGAATGCAAATGAAGTTAATAAACGAGCACTAGACAGCAGATTACAAGTGCTAACTATTCCTTGGCTTTTTTAAAGTCAGGTTTTAACCACCACCAGCAGCCCAGCCCCTTGGCATCGTATTTCATATTCTTCACAGGCACTAGCTTCACTTATGTGCATAGCTCGTGTCCCACCATTTCTGTTTCCTTGGAACCAGCAGATTTCCTACTCCAACCAAAAACCAAAGGCCTAGCACTCACCTGCCTCACCACCAAAAAGGAGAGGCCTCAGACAGCTCACACTTTCTGGATGAAGGCAGGAAAGAGGGCCCTGTTTACATTAGCTGGCAAACACTGCCAGGAACTTACATGTGCAACTCAAATGCAGCTGCAAATCCTCTGTTCATCTGAGTGAGTACATGGAGGTATCAAGATTTTAAGTAAAAGACAGCGCTCGGATCTGCGTTACGTGACCTGCTTCCATGCGGCTAACAAAAGGAAGTTAAACTACCAGCAGACAAGAACAAACCGAAAAGTACAAGGTTTCTACTCTGAAAAGAGCAAAAAGGGCATCACAGATGACATATATTTATGTAGGGCGCTAAGTGTCCCTACCTAGCCCCAAGTAGGCCCAACTCGGAGCCCCCAGCAGGCCCGTTAGGTAACGCAGCTCCGCAGTGAGCAGCAGACGCGCAGCTGCAGTCACTGTCACCAGCCATGGCAAACAAATCCCTCCTGAGGACACGAGCACCACCGGTGGCCACCAAGAGTCTCAGACACGGAGCTGGAGACACTGCGCAACTCCCATCCCCCGGGAACACCCTGGTGAAGGCAACATGTAAGTTGGCAGAGCTCTGGGGACAAACAGCTTGCATCAATGTATTTGTACACCAATCCCCATGGGTCACCAAGGCGCTTGGCAGCTCAGCCTAAAACGCGCTCCAGACATCCAGTATATTCTTGCATGTAAGACAGTTATTTTCAACTTTCTTTAAATTATTAGTCAGTTGGTTTGTGGACTAGTTTCACTGCAATTTCCTCTTTATTTTAAAATCACATACAACTTAAATAGAAAAAACTTGTTGAGAGTCACTATTTTTCATTGACAAAATAGTGGATTTTAAATGCTCCTCTAGTCACCTGCTTGTTACCCTTCTGACAACATAGCACACGATTATGGAAACTAGCCAACTTACTACTTTTTTTTTTTTACTAAACAGAAGATCAGCTGTGTTAAAGATAGCATGTGCTGTAACATACATTTTCTGAAAAGTTTATTTACAAAGTTCAAGAACTGCCTCCCTTCTTGTTTGCCAGGCAATGAACGCGGTGCAGGCAACCACCTTCACCCAGTGCTTTCCCTCATCAAACTTCCTCTCTAACCCGGAAAGGCACTTAGCCAAGGCCATAAATACCACCTTGTTAACAGCTCCAACATGCAACGCAGCTTATTCAGCTGTTTCACCCTGCCTTTAAAACCACCCTCAGCTCCTTTGTGGAAGACTTCATATGCTTTAATCTTTGCTTCGTATGGGAGGGACCCACATTCGGAAGCTGAACTTTGAGACATCAAGTCTCAGACATCACCACACACTCACAGTCACTGCAGTTTAACCAAGATATCAAGCAGCTGAGGCATGTCTTGCTTGTTTTTTTAGAATTAAATTTGAATTCTATTTTTACAGGTATCTGTTATCCCTGCTGCCATTCTGCATATCCAGAACATTTCCAAACTAGTCTTTTGGAGAGCTGTGGAAGGCTGGCTCAATCTGTAGCCACATGCCATCTTGCCCTTCCTCTGAAACCTGAGCGCAGCGGTGTCTATTACAGCTCATTAGCTCTAGCCCTATTGTCCTCCTTTCTAGGCACGGAAACAAACAAAAATGGATCATTTGACAACACAAAATAAGCCCATAAAACATAGATGAGATTTTTAGAATAGGACTCTCTTTGTTCACATTTGAGTTTCTGCTGCCAGGCTAGCAATATTTTTCATTCATTCTTGATACCAAAAGAGGGATCAAATGACTGGAAATAAAAGAGGCAATAGGAGGCACAGATCATTAAAGATACATGAAGGAATTAAAATCCACATAGATATCAATATGATCTATTCAAAAACAACTCTCCTGTTTTTACATGACATTATGTTGTATTTGTACTCATTCAGATTCAATTATCAAAAAACAAGATGCAAAAGAACATATTAGCCTTGGAAAAATATTCTTTATAAAATCATAAGAGCATTAACTACTTTTCAATCATATCTAACCAAATCTATTGAAAACTTTTCACAATTACTATTTAAGAGACTGCTGTGGTCTTTCACACACAAGTAAAGCTTATCATATACCTTAAGAATCATCAGCATCCTACCTGTGCCTTTTGATGCCGTTGGACAGCGACTCCCCACTGCCACAGACCTTTTCTTCAGCCATGCTGGTAGTTATTGTATCTTTTGACTCCATGCTGTCCTCTAATGAGTAGGCTGTTGTTGTCTCAAACCCGCTTAACGATTTTTCAGATTCCGAATCTGCAGAAGAGCAGGTGCATGTTAATGAATCTGCCGTCGGCGCGAGACTCGAGGCACTAACAGACCTGCTCTCCGTACGAAACTGAAACCTAAGGAGGCTGCTGTGTCCTGGTGACAGAATCCATTTGGTAACTCACTCGTGCTGCCACCGACCGCTGTGTATCAAGATATAAACTAAAGAGATTGTGAGATAGGCAAGAACACGGTAGATCAAATTTCACATAGAGCCAAAACCTGATGTTTTTGATTAAACTGAAGCCATCACAACTTCCTTAAGACTAGTGCTAGTGTCAAATGGATATCAGGATCTTACCTAGCTAAACAATATTTAGCTTAACATTCAAGCTCTGGCTCTTCCTTCTATTTAAGATTTTAGTTTGGTCCAAATTCTTGAAGCACTCAGTGCTTTGTAGCAGTCTTCCCTTCCCAACTTACTGTATGTGTATCGACGAGCGAGAGGATATTGTATGCGCTGGATGACACTGGCCACGTAAGTCCCAGCAAAGTCTAAGTGATAAGATCACCAAGCAGTAAAATAAACTTTGCACTCTGGAAGGTAGGTTAATAGTACAATCCACATCAGGTCCAAAGCTAAACACAAAACAAAACTGACCTCATTTCCAACAGTGCTTTGGTTGGATAGTGCTTAATCTGCTCTGGAGAAGAGAGAGTCTTGCCCCATGTTAAAAAGTAAAAGTTTTCTGGCAAAAAGTCTTCGGGTTTTTTTCATGTTTTCCTATTTCAAACCCAACAAGTTTGTTAAAGAATTCATCAACTGCAACAGCCAGGATGCAAATGAGCTGCTCAAGACCACTAAAGACACACCAGTTTCCACCATATTTGGGAAAAAGGCCAGATGCAACAGTGAATGAGAAGCAGCTTAACGAGAAGCAGCTTAACCAAAGTGTCCCTGCTTCAGAAAGAAGCAAAGCCAACTTCTAAAAGCCAGATTCTGTAGCTCCTGTTTCTAATTCTGATTCTAGCTAAAAAAAAAAAAAAAGGGGGGGGCAATCAAAACTTGTTGAGGGAGGAGTCCATTCAGAAGAACATCTATAATAAGAATATCTCAGTCACAAGGGCCTCTTGCCAGGCACTTTCCTCTTTTCCCTTAAAAAGAGGTTCTGGTAGCTTCTCCAGAACATGTTACGTATACTTTGGTGAAGGGGACACTGACAAGAGGACTTTCTGCTAGATCCAGACTACAGTTGGGCCAAAAAGAGGAAAAAGGCCCGATTAAGGGATGGGCTATGCCACATGTTCTGCATTCCATCCAGAGAGACACGTAGGAACATAAAGCAGATCATGGCTTTCATTAAAAAACACCTATTCCCATCTTTGCAAAAGCAGTACTGAAAACCAGCCAGTTGCTAAGGAATGGAAAGCACTGCCAGCTGGTGCTGAGGATATGCTAAAAGAGAAGACTGGCACTCCAGAAAATCTTCTCACACATTTCCCCAAATTTGTCAGTCTAGTTACATGCAAAGTTCTGACATAAAATACCAAGCATTAGTTTGGTGGGTACTGCACATAACAAGTAGGGTAAAAACAGAAGGATTTTTTATTTATGTAATATATCTCTCCACAAGAACCCATTTCTCCAGAGAGCCTAAGCTGAGCTAGAGAGAAAAACATTATCACATATCCAAATGCCACAACGGAAGAGACACTCTAGCAACATAACACAATTTGGGCCTTGACTTCCTGCTCTCATTGTACAGCTGACACATGACAAGCTATAAATCCCTTCACAGTAAGTATTAGATCTCTCTAGTGAAAGAGCTGCCCAGCTGTGCCTACAATTATTGTGAAGGAGAACTGTGAAATAAACTCAGTAAAATACAGTAAGGAGTAGCGGCAGTAACACTCCTCTCACTTGCAATGCCACCAGGAACCTTCTTGCTTTCAGCTAAGAGTCACTACAAGGTTTCCCACAATTATTTCCTCAACTTGAGCTGCTGCACCTGACCTAGAAAGCAAAAAACAGGAAAGTTTTGTGAGGATCTGACCACGCTTTAGCAGGCTTCACAGCACAGGGAGGATTTTTAAACACTACACATGTAACAGGCCCCCTCAGTTCTCCCCACTCCTGCTCTTAGGTCTCAGCACTAAAAGACAACTAGACCAGTGACCAAGCTCATCTCCTGCAAACCTCCTGTTCAAAGCTGGAGATGGTGACCAGACAGTCTTTCCAGAATAAGCCACAGATGTGGCTTATTTAATACAAGAACATACTATGCAATGAAGAGCAGATGAAGAATAAAAACCAGCCACTACTATACTTGCTCTCTGGGGGACACCCCTCACACCTCCCTGAAAAAGAGCTCTCATTGAACAAGTACGTCTACAAGAGCTGAGGCTGCCACAGGTCTCTGCATCTCCAGGCCCTGCAACTTTATGGACAGGTATCTCCTCTGAGATGCCCACTGAGCTTAACAAGGCTTTGGAGTTCCTTTCAGGTGCCAGCCTTAAAAGTACACCTAGGGTCGTCTTGTGAGCATGGATCAACAAGCAACTCAAACTGAACTTCTCTCACTGTAACTGCAAGTAACTCTTTCTGAATTAAGATTTACATACTCCTCCGTTACTGTAAAAAAAGATTTATATTCACAAGTTGTTACAGAGCAGCTGTCAAGCAGATGACTAGGAATAAATGAGACTTCTAGTGAACTGAAGAAGGTTTGGGGGAGAAGAAGGGTGGAAAGGAAGAGTGCCTGTTTAGAAGCCAAAATTTTGAAGTGATCCTTGAGACAAGAGAAGGCTGACTAGGAAGCCCTCCAGCTCAAGAGAGCACAAGTATCAGGGTGAGAGCAAAAATACAAAATGTAGTTGGCATAATGGTAGAGCAAAAGGAAATGACAGATGCAGTGGTCCCTTAGGCACTTGTCCTCAGTGAAAGTCTTCTCCTGTTCTAAGAACCAACAAGTCTTGATTTCCAGGAACAAAAGTTTGGCTAATGTGTCCAGGTATTCTATACACCTGCGAAAGACAATGTTGAACCAGTGACACGACTGGGATTCAACTCTGAGTAGGTGTTTCCCACCCACCCTTCTTCTGAGCTATTTGAATACACTCTTGAAGCTGTCCTCAAGGCAGAAAGTCCACAGTCAGAGACATTCTTACACACACTGGGGGATACTTTTGGATCACATTCAAAAATGCTATTTGATAAACCCCAAATATGGAAGGACAGAACAGTAAATTCATACACTACTTTGCACTTTTTAAAGTGCACAGATAATTGCAGACAAATTGGGACATGAACAAATTGGCACACTGCTTCTGCTACCACTTCAGGGCACTAGTTAGGAACACAAGATTTATTGCTAAAATATAACAGCTGAATCTGTGCTACAACAGATTAGGTTTAATACAGCCTAAGTATGACTATAATTAAACAATTGCATTTATAGTAAGATTGCATCCATATAAGATCATCAATGCCCTCCAGCACAAAAGAAACTTTGCTTGCAGCAAGACCCTCATCTCTCAGAGGGAGCATTTTAGTAGAATCAGGACAGTTCTAACAAAGCTTTTCTCAAATTGGGTTTGCAGTCTGTAAATAATCAGAGAGTTTTAACTGCAAGCCAAAGTCAAGAATACCCACCATTTGGCTCTTGACCTGCCAAGTCATTTTTCAGCAATGCAGATGAACTCTGGATTTGTGGTCAGTCTGTTTCCTGAGATCTACATGCTTAATCCAAGTTGGTAATAAGTCATCTAACTCTCTGGATGCCATCAGTCATAATGAATTTTGAAGCTGGTACTTTTTCCTTCCCCACATCCTTTGCACATCCTTTGACATTTAATCCTCCAACAAGAGCTCCACAGTTCCATATGCTGTCAAGTCTTACTACATACTTTTACCGTTCCTAGGATGAGAGGATCAGAGCACCTTGGAATGCTCTGTTTACGACCTCCTGCTATCAGAGTTCAGATTAATAACACATTCAAATTTGCTGGCTTTAACACTGGATATCATCCTTTCAAAAAACGAAGTTACTCCCATTTCCTTTAAGTTCTTGTTTTCAAATTCAATTTCTAACGGCTTCCCATTGCAAGATTTTAAAAATTATTGTGACAACTAGAAAACATCCATTTAAAAAAGAGGAAAGATGTCAGAAGATAAACAACTTCCTTAAGCTGTCTTAACTCATTACCTTACAAACATTTTCATCACTCCAGTTTTGTAAGAGATAAGGGATGCTTCTTTATTAGTGTCCACAATTTCTACAGACCAAATTACACATCACAAACTTACCAGTGACCAACTTAGCTTACATCAACATTACCAAACAGAAATGGCTCAGTAGGAACAGAGTTAAACACATCGTGCTGAGAAATTTACAGTTTAAATGGGGACATTTTTGGGGTTTTTTTTTTTTTTTTCCTTCAGATTAGCTCTACCCTACATGGATTGAGTGTCTGGGAGCCACTGGAACATATCTTCTGATTCACTTGCATTCAGGAACCTGGTTCATTCAGATTTCTCTACAGTGTATACCAGAGCATAGATACATGGGGACAAGCAGAAGCTGCTGGGCACATACACTTTAGAACATACTTCTTGTTCAAAAAACTTGTCTGAAAATGTCCTGCTTTGCTCTGAGTTGGCATGGCTACAGATGCTTTTGTTTATAGTAAACAAGCAAAAGTATCTAACACACAGAAACTACTCTTAAAAAAATAAAGGAAAGCAGCAGTGGCACTTTCTTTCAACCTGTCAAGTCAAAGCTGTTGACTCTTCAGCTCGGAGTGCAAACTTACTTATGTAATGCTCTCACTTCCATAAAGGCACGCCCACGGAGGAAATTTAAAGATTCAAAAAACTGTAACTAGAAAAAGATGATGATGTCCTAACAGAAAAAAATACTCGTGAAGCAGTGACATTTTCTGACTGACATTATGACTTGTCATACCAGCCTGTTAAATTTTTGACTAAGTGCTCACTCAGTCCCCCATGAAGACTAGCAAAATGTTTCATGAATCTATTTACCTGGAATCAGTATCATTGAATTTGTTTAGAAATCTTTCAACACTGGAAGTCCCAGCAGTTCAGACTTGTGAAATTAAAAGCTTCTAGCTTCTAACACTTGGGTCTAGTCACTGCTTTCTGTTGCAAATGTATTTATGGCCATCCATATCCCACCTCCTTAGCCCAAGAAGGGAGCCCTGCAGCCTCACACTCAAAGCTAGTGTCACATTTCCCGATATCTCTGCTCCTAGTACTTTGTTGTCTTACTATCCTTCAAATTAAGGTTCCAAAGACTATAAATATGTCAGAAAAGCAAGGAGGTTAGAATGTATTATCAAGACCCCAGTAATTAGCTAAAAATGAACATGACAAAAATGGTTATTTTTGTGTTTAAGCTGAGTCATAAGCCATAACATGCAACCAGTGGCCAGGAAGCCAAGGCACACTTCCCTTTCTCCAGCCAGCAACGGAGCACCCTTCCTCCACACACGTGCCTTCAGAGACAGAGGACCAAAATGCCTGCAAAACCACAGCATCTAACACAAGTCTGATGAAGTTAAGAGAGTTAAGAAAGGGAGTCTGTCCTGCAAAATTATTTGAATTGCAAATAAGATGAATTATTTCAAGTAATTTCTATCGAAAAGAGAACCGAGATACATATTCTGGATAAATTTTGCAGTTACATAAATCCATTTGATGTGATTTATATGCAGCTTCATGCAGAGAAAATCCCACCATTTCCAGATAGAAAGGTGTTTTTAGACACTTTCATTCAAGATCAAGTTTTTGACAATGGGTAGGTTAGCAGATTTATAGACTAACAGTTCTTTATAGACCAATAGTCCTTCAAAGCTAAGGGAGTATTCTCTTGCATATACAAACGGAGCAAGCTCAGCTGGAGAGACCACATTCCACCAGCACCAGATAAACAACAGCTCTCCGCTTTGTTGCAACAAGCAGAAGAGCCCAAGGCCTTTAAGCAGACTTGTTCCTTTGGTTCTCATTGAAGAACCTGTTTCTGGCTTTCCTTAATCTCTTCTCCTGGTTGAAAATTTGATACATTTGTTACTGTGGCAAGAAACAGTCTTGTGTTGATTATTGTGTTCCTCTGCTCTACACTTGAGCATCTGAACACAGACTGTACTTAGCCTGTTTTTACCCAGTGTCCAGTTAAGCTGGACACTGCAGTACACTTAGAGATGGGAAGCACTGGTTTTCTCATCAGTCAGAAGAGTCAAATCAGTTAAGTCTGCAGAACAAACAACCCCATTAGGCCTTGCTCATTAAGTCTGCCATCACAGTCTAATTATATGATACAGTTAGGCCACGTTTATATTCAAACGTTTTTAGATCCTATTAGTAGTTTTAGCAATTTTTGTAGTTTTAGTCAGCTGTGCATTGCCAGACCACCCAATTAGAGTTGTTATCTAGCTGCACTGTGCACATCCTAACTATACCAATGTATTTGTAATTATCCTATGCAGTCCAGTGCTTTCCAAAAATCACTATTTATATGTTTTGCACATGAAAATATGAAAGGTACTAAGCTGACAGCAAAAGAAAGGTACTTTGAAGATGCACAGAAAATTATTATTGATCCTTCTCTTCAACCTGTGATACTTAAAATACACAGAGGTGAAAGAAACAAGCTTTTTTTAACCTTCTTTATCTCTCAAAAACAGTGACTGTTAAGGATTGATCTTTGAACAACAAACCCATACATATACATGCAGAAAATAACTGAGAAGACTCCCAGCTATATTTACATCTCCCAAAAATAGGAGTCCTAAGTTTTGCTATTTAAAACAGGGTGTAGACATCCAGGCAATTAGATGTTTCATGTCTGGGGCCTGTAACTTTCTGCCCTGCTAAGGTAAAGCAGCACAGTTCTACAGGTGAACTGAGGAAGGTTTGCCCTGAGGCACAAGTTCAGAGGCCCCCTCACAAAGCACAGGCTTTTCCTAAAGTTCCTGGCATGTTGGAAAGAGATTCACTTAGAGCAAGACTGTTGCCCCATCCCCATCATGATCCCCGAACACCCAGGGACATCAGTACTTACCTGAAACAGCATCATAGAACTGCTCTTCACTGAGGATGCTTAGAGGCGGAGATCCCTTCACCAGTGACTGCTCTAGTTCATGGTGTTCAGTGGCTAGTGTCTCTAGTGCTTCTGACAAGATCTTGTTTTTCTCCTGCTCATGCTCCAGTTTCAAATTCCTCACCTATAAGTAGATACATGTATGAATAAAATCCCATCTCTCCGAGGAATGCATAGCTCAAAGCTATTCAAAAAATAGACTGTAATAAATAAGGAACTGGTTCAAAGGCAAAAGGCTGAAACCGAAGCCACATGAATTAATGAGAATACTACAATATTCCTGTGACCACAATGTGGTTGTATCTCAGCATTTCTCAGTTACCGAGAAGTCTGCCAAATAAAATTTAATAGAAGAAAGCAAAATTCCACGAGTGGATACAAGCCAGTCAGATCACCACACTTTAAGTCTGAGCAGAAATATTCACCACTCTTCACCTGCATGACTATAACTATGAGCCACAGCAATCCGTTCCTACGTGTGCAAGGCTCCTTCTACTAGTCAGCTTTAATTTGGGCCGAGAAGCACCATCTGAACTGAAATACAGAGCAAATGTGAATGCCAGCTACAAATAATTACATCAGAACTGCGAGCTGAAAACATGCAACCCTGTGGATTAGAGAAGAGGTTAAGGAAGAGATTCCTCTACTAGCTCACTGAGCTTTGATATAAACAGCTTTCCCTCACCACTCTCAAAATAGTTTACAGAGGAGTCAGGAACCAAACAGAAAACCAGCCACCAGATGGTGGAAGTTTTTTTCAGCCCACACATGCAGCCGGCACCAGGGAGGATGATGTTAACTGCATCTCAAGCCCAACGCTAGTAACAAGCGAGCAACATGTCCTGCCCATTTCCTCCTCCTTTTTCGATGTGCTTTCCTGCCTCCTCTGCCTCCTAAGGGAAAGTGGGGAAAATTCTTACATGAATGACTCCTGGAGGTCCTTGTCCTGGAGGCAAGGCTGCCATGTGCCATTCTCTCCAATCTCTAAAGGTCCCTTCTAACCTTAAGGATTCTGTGATTCTATGATCACCCAACAACTTGACTTTCTTCCTCCCCCTCCTTCTCCCTGCTCCAAAGGCTTTCAGCATCCCCAGCTATTGCCTTGTCCTCTAATTTACTTGCAAGGGTCAGTTTACCGCTGTAACACCCCCACCACTAAGAACCTGCAAGGACAGAGCAATGAATCTCTTGGACCGGTTACAGGGACCACTTGCTCTCCTAGGCGAGCGATACACCTACCAATGCTGCTTTTCTGCGTCTAATCCAGGAACTCTTCATGTGTCATTTTCTGGTTACTTTCTACATCACAGCGTTACTTCATGTAGTGTTCACACAAGCAGCTACATTTATAAGGCACCTCTCTCTCACTCCAATATACCAGTTCTAGATCTAATAATAGCTTCTATTTCCCTGCGGAGTCTTTGACCCCCTCAGTTACAACCACCACTGAAATAGCAGATTCTGAATCGGGCTCAAATGAGAGGCTGTCAATGTAGAGGCTAGAAAGGAAACGTCAAAGCAAATTTGCCACTTCCAGAGAAGCTTCTATTCTGGCAGCAGCATATCCTCTGGAGAAAGACCCGTGCAAGAAACCTGCACCCCGTCTGCTGTGCCACGTACTGCATCAGCTGGTTTTGCTTCCAGGCCCTCAGTGTAGGGAGGCAATCCAATTAAATGATAATTAAACAGAATAAAATTGGGTTGCTAATTGAAAGCAATAAAATCACTATGCCAGTTACCACCTTATAGTTCTACTTTGAACAGAATGGAAAAAAAAAATCTAGATGAGTTATAGCCACTTTTGGCTAAAGTTCGCTTTCAAGGCTGCAACTAAGGCAGTTGCTGCAGGGTTTCGCAGAAGTCAGGTGTGCCCCATTGCAAAAGAATTGATATTAAGTAGTTATAGCAGAGAATTTTCTGTACAGATCACTTAAAAGTATTGTCCATTTATAGAAATAACATATGTATTTCACACACTTGAGAGGGGAAGGGTGGGAACTGAAACTGAAGCAGTGCTTTTCATTATTATTAAGCAGCAGCAAAATTAAACAAGCTATTAATATGGTATTTGCAAATTTAAACTAAAACGAGAAGAATAAGATGCCTTCACCCACTGCTCTGCTTTGATAAGTAATTTGGACTAATGGTTAACATTAAAAATTTAAGCTTCAATGCTATTTAACAGAAAACAGGAAGGAAAATCCAAGTGTATCTCAAAATCAAGATGAATCTCTTCCTGCATCTACCTAGCATGGCAGTGCAACTAAACCGGTAATATAAATACAGGCCTGACATCAAAAAACTGTAAAAAAACTCTGACATCTGAAAAACTCTGTAAAAAATCTTTTTTAAGGTTCCTTTGTCCTTTTGTCACGCAGAGCTATTTGTAACTGCAGAAGGTGGAATGAAAACAAACACCCCATTTGGAAAATAAACAGTGAGCCTAACATTAAGTTCATTTTTCTACGTGCTCCCAGATTTCCTAGCTGTGAAATATTTATTAGTAAAGCACAAATACTACTAGTAGGCAGGAAGAAAGCTTTTCAGCTCTTACATAAGGGAACTGAAGTAGTGATAAAAGAAAACACACCCAGATTTAAGTTTGCTGCTTTCAGCTTAAAAATGTTCATTCATATCTGAATGAACTCATTTTAAAGCAGTTTTAATTCAATACCTGGAGGCAGGAAAGCTTTGCCCTATACAGAACCTTTGCCAAGAGTACTCAATTTGCAGAACGCCTTTACATTTAGCAAAGGCAGAGGTGCCCACAAGAGGTCCTGCAGTCCAGAACTCACAGCAAGATAAGGGTTTACATGAGCATCTCTTAAAAACACTGTCTGTAATAACAGTAACTGCATCCTTAACAATCTATACAACTCAATGGTGGTGAAACAAGAAGCACCAAAACATGGTTCTACTACCATTTTTTGACTGATTTCATGTGTAAAGAAGCCTGGCACTTGTTCAAAAAGGACTAGCACCACCTTCATGTAATCTTCTTAAATAAAGGTATCACTGGAGAAATAATTTTTTTTTGAAATATGCATAGTAAATACACTTTAACTTTTTTGTAAAGCAGCTTTAAGTGATTTCTCCATTTTGTCTTCTTGTCTTATTGACCAGATACATTTCTTAAAATCTTCCTGCAGCAGAAGTATTTATTTTTCTCCAGAACTATGGGATGCAGTCTCCATTCTTCCAAGTGTAACAAGCAAGATTTCTATCAAGTTTCTCCAACAGCCCCAGTAACTAATGAATATACAGATTTCCCCAAGACATAAGTAGTGGACTGCTCTTTATTTTGATTCATGAGGCATGGCCAATATTTAAGTTCTGAGATGAGTTATTCTAAGTTCCTTGCTACTCTATCGCCACTTCTGGAGTTGACACTTCAGCTTCATCTGCTTTCCCATCGAAACTTTTTCTCTTGCCCATCCTGTGTCTCTTCAGTGCCTCAACACAGAAACAACTGCAAGAGTACAGAAAGAACATCCAGACTAGTCTTAATATTTCTTTATACAAAATCGTTAGGAGCTACATATAAAGCAGAAACATAATTGTAAAGAAAAAAACACCCCCCAAAATCATTTTTCTGACACATACACATTTGGGTCTATTAGGCTGGGGGCAGGGAGACCAGGACATTTCAGTGAAATACTGCCTGAGTTGGTGCAGCTGCGCTGCCTGAACACCTCGCTGGTTTTTACATACAATGCTACAAATCCTTAGTTCGAGGGAAGGCAGTGAAGTGATAAGCATCACACCAAACTGCAGGCTGCACAGCCCTGGATAGCCCGTGCGGGCCCATTCCCTGGAATACCAGACAAGATGCTCTCTTGATGGCCCACGCAGGGCACACCGTGTGCTGCAGCAGCAGAGGCTCCCGTGCTTTCCGTAGCTGTGCCTGAGCTCTCAGAGGACAGATGGTACCTCGCGTCTTACCGGGTTTAGCTCCTCATCCCCCAGCTATGGAATAGCTGTCATGTCTTTTTTCACGCCTGCAGCTGATCCCTGCAATGCCACCACTGGCTCCAGGAGCTCCCAGCAGGGACGGCAGAGGCAGCCACACAGCGCGTCCCAGCGAGGCCAGCGCGGAGCCAGCCGGCATCGCACGCAGTTCCACTGCTCAGCTCTGCACCCACCCTTGTCACGAGCTCCTTGCACGAGAGCAACTGCACTAACCGCATCGAGAGGGTCGGCCTCATGCATTTGCACTGTTACGATGACCACAGTTGAGATCAGCCTTGTTTTCACCTCTAAACAGAATGTTGCGAGTGAAACATCAGACTTGCAGCTGCTGTAGATCTGGGGGAAACTAGCTAGCCTTTCTTGCAGAAATGAGCAGTCATTCACCTTACAGCTACAGACACAGCCATGACCTGATACACTGACACAGAGCAACTGGAACTAGATCACTGCAGCAATGTATTTGTTTTTTAAATACTTCTCCAACAAGAGTTTGATAGCCAGGTTGAGGTGGCTGACTTCATAGTTCAGCTGAACATGGAGTCCACCCACAAGAGCTTTCTGTAAATGTTAGTGCCCTTCAGGCTTTCAAGCTCCAAACTGTGAATTAAAAGAGTAGAATCCAGTTACTTTTGTAGTCTGGCTACAGCTCTATTCCTCCTTTCTCCTTTCTTTCCCTTAAAGGAAAGCAACAAGCTATATGCAGACACTCGAATGTCCTTCTATGCTGCTGTGCTTACAAGAGCATGAGTTAAAGGTAACTCCTTCAGTGCCTAATACTAGCAGGAAAAAATAATTGAATACGTTCACAGGCCTATTCCTAAATATCTAAAGCCTCTCTGAATGCCACAAACATCAGCCCCACTCCTTTCTGTACCTTCAGCTTTCATGCTGGAGATGGGAGACTCGTAAAGTGGAGCAGAAGACCTTCCTCCCATCTCCGTTTTTTCAAGCCCTAAGCCTGGCAGTGAATCTAAACAGCCTGTAAGCAAGGCCCTTTCTGGGCCTCCTGAAGGCCCCTCTGTACAATACACAAAATGCTTTCTTTGTGCAGCACTCAGTGCTTTTAATTTAAATTAAGGCTCAACAACAGTGGCACTTTTGTAGAGTAGGAAACAGTCACACCACTGATGCCCAGCTAATAAATGAACATCTCAG